AACATACATCCATCAAAAGGCTTGTACCTAGAATCGAAGAAGTTGCAAAATTTGATGTAAAAAAACAATTAAAAAACAAGCTAAACACATCAGCAAATGCTTCAGCAAAAAAAACTATTCAGATGGTAGAGAGGCACATAAGTATATTCAACATTATTAGTTACCAGGGAAACATAAATTAAAATCACAATGAGATTTCATTATATATCTGTTAAAATGGCTAAAATTTAAAAATAGCAACAGGAAGAAATACTGGCAAGAATGTAGGAAAGGTGGATTACTCATACAGTGTTCACTGGAGTACAAAGTAAGTCTTAATTAAAATTTACTTCAGCACACCTGTAATCCCAGCATTCGGGAGGCTGAGGCAGGAGGATTATTGTGAGTTTGAGAGACCAGCCTGGGCTACAAAGTGAGCTGTAGGTTGGCCTGAACTGCCTAGCGAGACCCTGTCTCAAAAAGACAAAAAAAGGGGGCTGGGAATTTAGCTCAGTGGCACAGCACCTGCCTGGCAAGCGCAAGGTCATGAGTTCAGTTCCTGGTACCAGAAAAAAAAAAAGACAAAAAAATATAAATATGTATAAGAGCTTACAAAAATATGTCTAAGAGCTTACAAAATCCAATTAATAATACATTCAATTGGCCAATGCTTAAAATATTTCCATAAAAAGAGAATGAGGCTTTCATTTGTTACAAACACCAGAGTTTTTTACAAAATTATTTAAATTCAGTTATAGGAAAACTATAGATACAAGTCAGGAAAAATATAAATTACTTTGATCCTTATTTTATTAGAACTGTTAAGAAAGTCAGCATGAAACATGAAGATTACATACCCAATTAGAGGAACTGCTATTGTTTTATTTCCCACTGAAATAAGTAGTTCGTCAAAAGTATCTTCATCTTTATCAGGATGATATTCCACCACAACTGTTGTCTGACGGCCAGAAGCAAGTTCTTTATCCAGATCGGTCAACATCAACTTGAACTTCAATAGGAAGAAAAGAATCAAATTATGCATTTGTGCATTGGGAAATGAATCAAAGGCATCCTATGCTGCCACTGAGCTATATCTCTAGCCTGCAAATTATATATCTTAACTCCTTATAAGAAAGTAATGTGAGCAACCGTAGCCAGGAATATACATTATCATCAAAATATATTTGTTGTTCCTGCTCTAAAAGCAAAAAAAAATCTTAAATTTGAATTTTTTGCTTAATTGACACAAATAACTGTATCTATTTATGGACAAGTACAATGTGATGTTCTAATACATGTACACATCGTGGAATAAGCAAATAATGCTAACTGACACACACATCACCTCACATATACTTTTCATAGTAAGTGTATTCGTAATTCTTTAACAGTTTTAAAGTATACATTGCGTTATTATCAACTTTAATCATCTAGTTGTACAACAGATTACCAGAAATTATTACTGAATATATGCATGGATGCATGTGTACATATATACATACACACCTATGTACAGTATACACAGAAAGCATATAGTAATTTATATGTTTTCTGCATGGGAATGTGGGCTTCATAAGTTGGGGGGATGATAAACAAGAAAGCAATTTTGTTCTGGAAAAACGTTTGCTAACTC